GGCCCAGGTACTTTCTTCTCCAAGAGACAGCAGGCGCTGAGCCAGGGAGTGGAACAGAGCCAAGAACATGGCCAATCAGGGGGAGAACTGGGTCAGGGGGTGTTGCTTAGCCAGGGGTGAGGTCAATCCAGGGGGGAGAACCGAGTCAGGGGTATTGCTTAGCCAGGGGTGAGGCCAATCCAGGGGGGAGAACCGAGTCAGGGGTATTGCTTAGCCAGGGGTGAGGCCAATCCAGGGGGGAGAACCGAGTCAGGGGTATTGCTTAGCCAGGGGTGAGGCCAATCCAGGGGGGAGAACCGAGTCAGGGGTATTGCTTAGCCAGAGGTGAGGCCAGTCCAGGGGTGGAGCTGAGCCAGGGGCAGTGCAGAGGAAAGAAACAAAAAGCAGGCCCCTCTGATGCCTCTCTCTGCATCTTGCTGCCTGACCATTGATGTGTCTACCACGTTCCTCACTACTTCCTCCGCCACTTTCTCATTTGATACTTCACAAGTGTCCTGTCAACATATTTCCTTCAAGAACTGTTGATGAGGTGCCTTTCCAGGACAGCGTACTGCCCTCCACACCCATAGGCCTAATCTCTCCCTACTGTCCTGGTCTGTTTGCTGTCTAACCCTCCACTAGACCATGAGATTCTTAAGGACACGGGTCTACATCTCTCTCAGTGCTGCAGCCAAGGCACAGAAATTCTCTACAAAAACGAGTGGAAAGAATCCATGAATGAGTGAACCAGTCCCTCAGCCCATTCATGGAGGCCTTGGTGCAAAGAAACCTCTCAGCAGCAGTGTTCAAAGAACACAAAGTGCTGAGGTCAGCTGGCTTGTAGATCCATCACTGAATCGTCCAGGGCCTCAGCTTTCCAATCTGTCAAATGGACATGACCACACTTTTGCCATTTACCTCACTGTGTTTGTGAGGAGACTGTGAGGATAATGAGCTAAACTGTGGAAAGTAAAGAACTTCTTATGAGGGATGACTAGTAGTTACAAATCTCCCTCCTGAAAGGGCAGGTGTGTCCCTGGAGAGGTGGCCCCATGTACCCAGCGTGGCTGCAGCTCTGCACTGACTGACACCTCAGAAGAAGTGACCATCCATTCCTGAGTCTTCTGACCCAAAACTAGGATGTGAAGCATTTGTTTTGACAAGGATACCAGTTATTAAGTGGTTATTATATGCCAGGGCTTTTGCTTAGCACTTTAATATATTATCTCATTTAATCCTCATGACCACCCTGTGGGCAGAATTACCTGATGAGAAAATTGAGCCTCAGAGAGGTTAAGTGACTTCCTCAAGGCTGAAAAGCTTTACCACGGTGGTTCTCCACCTTCCTAATGCCGCGAGCCTTTAATATAGCTCCTCATGTTGTGGTGACCCCCAACCATAAAATTATTTTCGTTGCTACTTCATAACTGTAATTTTGCTACTGTTATGAATTGTAATGTAAATATCTGATATGCAGGATGTATTTTCATTGTTACACATTGAACGTAATTAAAGCATAGTGATTAATCACAAAAACAATATGTAATTATATATGTGTTTTCCGATGGTCTTAGGCAACCCTTGTGAAAGGGTTGTTCGACCTCCAAAGGGGTCGCGACCCACAGGTTGAGAACCGCTGCTTTACTATCTGGGATTGGAACACAGGTCACTCACACTCCAAAGCCCTGGCTTTTAACCATTATGTGCTAATTTCACAAGGGCCAGGTTAGTAAGACGCAGACATCTCAGTCCCCGGCTGTCACGCTGAGGTTTAGCCTGGCCCATGCGAAAGCAGCATGGTGCCACAGCAGCTGGAGTGACACATCTGCCCAGCCTCTCCCCACCACGGGGTCACAGAGCCCAGCCCTCACCATGCGGGAGGCGGGAACCCAGCCTACCTGTGCTTGATGGAGTTGCTGAGGTCTCTGCGAGAGATCTGCGGGGACCAGCGCGGTACTGACAGTGTGTCTGCGGGGAGAGAGGAGAGGAGAGCCGGTTACACAGAGGCCGGGGGCTGGCGTGGGCCCCTCACACAGAGGGCCGGGGGCTGGCGTGGGCTCCAGCCAAACCCAGGAAGAGGGAGGCTCACCGCCCTCAGGAAGGACAATGACCACATCACTTGTCAAACCAAAGCCGAGCAGATCGCTGGTTTAGCTTGTTTATCTAACCCATGCGAGGTCCCCGGGCAGGGCAGCCAGAGTGCCTTGAAGGAAGCCAGTGTGCAAACAATAAGATTAAGCATCACTTCCGTTTACAGAGTGCTTAGTGTGTGTTGGGTGTGTGCCCACACGTGCCTCAGTTCAGTACGTCGTGAGACAATCCCAAAGACGGGGTTGTTAGCATCTCCACCTTGACGGTGAGGCAGCTGCGGCCTGGAGAGAGGAAGTCAGTTGCTCAAGGTCATACACCTCAGAAGCAGCACAGTCACCGTGAAGCCAGGCTTGAGGGCTCTAGGCATGTGCCCTTGCAGGCAAAGTTCTAAAGCGGTAGATTCCAAATGCCAGTCACCCAAGTACCACCCTCCTAATTTTGGTCACAGCCCTGTATAACCCATAGAATTATTTGTTTCCTATTTTAAGTTGACTCTTTTTGTTTGTTTAAATACATTTATTTTAAAATCAAAGTCTATGTGGAAAATTAATATCACTTTCTATATATTGTAGGTAACTATTTAAAATATGTCCAACCATGAACCATCTAAACTCATTCTAGAATAAAGGGATGGACTGGTTGATGAACACGTGGATGGATGGCTAGATGGATAGGTTGATGGACTGGTTGGTGGGTGTGTGGATGGATGGATGGATGGATGGATGAATGGATGGATGGATGGATGAACATGTGGGTAGGTGAATGGTTGAATAGGTGGATGGATGAACAGATGAGTGGATAGATAGATGGGTAGATGGTAAAATGCTAGGTGGGTGAGTGGGTATGTGGATGGGTGGATAGGTAGATGGACTGGTAGGTGGGTGGGTGGATGAATGGACAGATAGATGGATGAATGGTTGGAGAGGTGGGTGGCTGGACAGATGATAGGCAAGATGGGCAGATGGGTAGGTAGGTGGATTAAGTGCTAGGTGAGGGAGTGGATGGGTGGATGGATGGATAGGTAAATGAAGTGGTAGGTAGGTAAGTGAGTGAATGGG